ATACAAATGCGTTATAAGTTAGTCGATCAGACATCACCGACAACAGTTGTCTTCTAAAAAGTAACGAACAAAAAATGAAAAAAATAGCATAAAATTTTTTCATTTTTTTTAAAGAAAAATATTATTGCCAACTTCCACAATTAGTTTGTTTAGTTAAATCAAGGTTTCTTAGTCTAGATGACAATTTTTTCTAACGAACGTTATTCGCTCGATCGCTGTACTGGCTCAAAATTAGGCCAAATTTAAAATTTCAAACCGGTTTTTCTCGAAACTGGGATAGTTTTTGAAAAGAGTCGTTCGAATCATGACTAAAAGGGCTTTAATATGATTGATCACTCGACTCATTACAATAATAATGTGTCGTACCTGACTTTGCGTGGAAAAAAAACTAAAACACACCCGAATACAAAGTTCCTCCCAATTTCAATGGCCGGAACAATAATCCGCTGTTGGGCAAATAGCACAGAAAGTTCAAAACACAATTATTATTTCACACAATTATTTGCAATTATTTTGCAATTATTATTGTTGCTTTTTCGTAGGTGATGTGAGCAGATAAACTCAAACTTTCCTAGAACTCAAATTATTGTTTTCATTGACTAATGATCCTTATTTGTGGTATCTGATTCTGAGTGGAAAAAAAAATACCCAAATACACAGTTATTCCGTTCTTTCAAAAGTCAGAACATTTATATAGCTCAAGTAATATTAACCAGGTTGACTTGCCCCGATATAACAAAGGAAACAAGCACCCAGAGCTTTCAGTATTATCTATGTACAAGCTTTCGAACTTCTAATTACTGACTGTGTCATTCATATCGTAAATTTCAGGCAAGAGAAATTTAATTATTTGCGATATTTATAAATCAAAGAATGAGCCGCCCAATATTTAATTCAATTTAAATAATCTGTAATTTGTGTTTTATGACAGGTGAAACGAGCACGAGCAAAACAAAGACAATTTAACAGAAAAGAACAAACAAGCACCATTTTCAGCAGAATTCAATGATATTCTTAAAACAAACACTTGAGACGAACTTCGCCATGAGAACAATCAGTTGTACACAAAGTGCGTTCTCATTTCTTGTTCAACGCCCGAATTATTTGTCTCAAATTAATTTAATTCACGGGATACAATTGCTGCATGTGCGCACAAAAAGATTTGGGGGCAAAATAAACCACTGCTTAATTTAACACAATAATAACAGAACACATCCCGGGTTGCAATTTTCGAGTTCATTTCGAACGACTCGGCCAAAAATAGCTATTTTTCGATGGAGTCGACCAAAAACGGCTATGTTTCGACACACTCGACTGAACGAAAAATATGTTCGACTCAAGCGTGCTATTTTTCGATCTATTCAACTGAAACTGGCTTCCGAAATTATTCGACTGAGATGTTTCAACCGACTACACAAAGAAAAAATGCGTTCGACCCAAGCGTAGATTAGACAAAAACCGGCTACTTTTCGACCGAACGAAAGAAAAACTGTTCCGATTTCATATTGAATCAGAAAAATGGAATTTATTTTGCCCACAAAGCGTGATACCGCCGCCATCATAAAATCAAACTGTTCATATCCTTTTGCAAAATGAATGGAAACCAATAGCTAAAGTATTGGGAATACTCGTATAACGTTTAAACCTTTGGGAGTGAAAACGACTCTTCTCGTGAAATACGAACATTAGCGACACTAGCTGGCTGTATGATTGCGTCGTTGCTTTCGCTATACAGTAGAAAAAACCATGTGCGAAACTACCGAATTGTAATTCTAAGATCGATAAATATATATCATATGACGATAATGAATGAATTCATTTTGTCATGAATGAACTTGTGAATATGAACCTGATTCGAAAAAAACAAGGGAATTGCCATGAACAATATAATGTGATTACGTGTAAATGAGTATATTTTTATATCCTGAATGAGTTTGACTTGTTTCTGCCGTATGGTCTTTTTGATAGGAGACTTCTTACCCATATATTTGAATTCGTACTTTTTAATTTTTTTGTTGTATTTTTGGTTCTACAGTTATTTTCAAAAAGGTTGTCGGCTCAGATGATGCTCGATAAACGTTTTTGAATTTATATCAAACGTATCGATTGTGTTCCTATTAATTTTTTAGAAATAAGGTTTAAACTCAATAAGTTCAAGAAAAAATATCATGCACCAAAGAAAACATCAGGATGGTTTCCAATTGGAGTATGTTGCCTCTTTAGTGAGCCAATTGGGCTCATTTCGTGTTATATTATTTAATCCATTTGACTACACTCAATTTTGTGAATGGTTACAAAGGGTTTGAGATGTTTTAGGGGGGACTTTGCTTTCTCAAATGAACAGACGACAAATGTGAGATACTATATTCCGCTTGATATGGATTTCACAAAACTACATCAGAAATGCTCTTTCAATGAAATTCAAAGCTTCTCCGTTATATGCGACGACTATACAGCTACTTTTGTTTTCGAATTGCCCAGAGAAGTTTTCCGTCTCAATTATGAAGACGGTTATGAAGGTGATGATGAATCTTTCGAAACCATCAAAAAGCCGGAAGGTTTCCCGGAATTGATAAAAAGCAACGGGCCTAACCTTTTTGGAGCCAGGAGAAGTTACAAATTTTCATCAAAGATGATATTATTTCATTTTCCCACTGCCAAATTAACTCTAAGCCTTCTTATTTCTGGTCCGACTATAACTATTTTATGTCAGCCCTGCTGTGCGAAGGAAACGTCATCTACGTAAATTAGTGTTTGTATTGTAGTGTATTAGTGTGTGTTAGTTACTAATTGACAGGCTAGTGTTTGTGGTCACTGGAACTGTCATCGAAGGGGAAGAAGATAAAAAATACAAGCCAGTTTTCCCTGGACTGTACCACGTGACTAGTAGCTGGCTGTATGATTGCGTCGTTGCTTTCGCTATACAGTAGAAACTACCGAATTGTAATTCTAAGATCGATAAATATATATCATATGTCGATAATGAATGAATTCAACTTGTCATGAAAGAACTTGTGAATATGAACCTGATTCGAAAAAAAACAAAGGAATTGGAATGAACAATATAATGTGATTAATTTATGTGAAAATCAGTTTCGAGAATCAAAATTCAAAGGAAAAGAAGCGTGAAAGAAGAAATGAACCACCTTGAAGATACGAGTCCCAGTTTAGCACCTGTGGCTGAAGAGACCTTCTACACTTCAGAGAACAGTGGGGGTGAATCTTTGGATGGGGGCAATTTAGTGTATGCTCCCTGGGTTGACAGGTACTACTATCCGGCCGAGATCAAACGAGTAGAAAACGCACCTAAAGATTCAGCAAAGAAACATCAACAATGCACTGTGGTTTATCACGAACCAGAATCGACTGAAACTGATGCAGACCCACAGTCTCTAAAAGACAATGAAATACCTCGCAAGCAAGTTCACTACAAGCGAATATTCAACCATGAAAAATTACCAGTTGGTTCAGTTGTTCACGCCCAGAAAGATCCGAATGACTGCACGAGTTTCGAAAGGGGAGTTATTACTCAGGTTATGGGCAGTTGCTTCGACCGGACGTTGGCGAAGTTCAACTATGCATATATGGTGTTGTTTGAAGAGTCGCAGGAGGTTTTGCCGATGAAAAGAGACCAGGTAATAATTGAACTGCAGAACCTCAAATCAGTGATGACAAAATTGTCCCAAGAGAAGATTCTGTCTCCGAGTCCTAAGATCAACCTCATGTTCAAGAGTCTCAGTCTGGATTCGAAGGACGAAAGGTGGAAGACAAAATACAATCCAGCTGACGATCCATTTCGGAGACCTTTGCCACCGCCAATTCACGCACAGTGATGAGCTTGTTTTAATTAGCCGAGTCTTTTTAAATAGAACAAATATTGATGATTGCTGTTTCAGTTTAGAAAAATCATAAGCTCTTTTAGCACGAACAGTGATGGGCATTTTATTTTGAATAAAATCTGTTGTTTTGCTCCCAACTATTTCTTGAAAAGCTTGTTAAATAAGACAGGGCAGTTCATTTTCATTTTTGCCGTCAATTTCCCCTCCGTTTGGCTCATCTTCAGATCGGAAATTGAATTCCCGGCTCGTCATCGATTCCATTGTTCACACAGGCCATGGAGAAGTCATTTAGACACCAATCTATTTTATCCCTTGGCACTCATGCATATGGATATACTATAGCCTCAGGGTATGCGGGAGTTGTGTTGCGGCTCCTCAGGGAGTGGCGTCCCTGCCCTGCATAGCTATGGGGGCGGCCTGTACATCTTTTACAGTTCAGGCTGCCCTGGGTTTTTGGTCATTAACCATGGCCTAGGCGGGATGAGGAAACGCAAATGGCGAAATGGCGTGCTGCATATAGTAATGTAGCTTAACATTTCCCCCACGCTGGACCCTCAGCGGTGTGGTAGACTTTGAGGCGTAGAGGACTTCAAATCCTCGCAAACGGCTGACTGTCATGCGGCATATGCGGCACCCGAACGAGTAACGTTCACTGCAGGTTGGCGACAGGAAGGGCATCCGGCCATCAAACTTCGCCCCAAATCCCTTACAATGTCATACACAACAAGCTCTGGCCCTCAGTCCCGTGCCCCCCTTAAATGGGGAGAGGGTGCTAAAAATCTCACGGTCTTTACTTCTTTCGTTTTAGGTACGCTAAACATTGGCACGCTCAAAAGCAAGTCTATTGAGCTGTGTCAGTTGTTATCCAGGAGGAAAGTAGACATCTGTTGTCTGCAGGAGGTCCGCTATAGAAATGAAGGCACACGTTACTTTGGTGAAGGGTCGGAAAGGTATAAACTTCTATGGAAGGGAAACAATGAAGGTACAAACGGCGTCGGAATACTTGTGAAAGACAGGTTAACGGAGAATATTCTATCCGTGGAGAGATTATCTGACCGCATTATATGTGCTAAGGTGATAATTGAAAGCAAAATTTACAACTTTGTTTCTGTTTATGCTCCCCAGCAGGGCCGCCTTGATATAGAGAAAGATTTGTTTTATATGGCGCTTTGCGACTTTCTATTTAAATTGCCAAATAAAGAAGAGGTGGTCATTGCTGGCGACATGAACGGACACTGTGGTTCGGACCAAATAAACTACGAATCAGTTCTTGGCAGGTATGGAGTGGGAGGAAGAAACCCTGAGGGTATCAGAGTCCTGGATCTATGCTTTGCCCATAATCTTCAGATAGCAAATACATTCTTCAGGAAAAGGGAACAACAGCATTGGACCTATGCCAGTGGCGATAGACGCAGTCAGCTGGATCTGTTCCTATGCAATCGAAATGTTCGGCGTAATATCACGAATTTCACGACTTTCCCAGGAGAATGTATAGCACCGCAACATAAACTATGCTGTGCATATTTCAAAGTTAGATGTTCTAAGACAAAGAAAGCGAAAGGCCAGATAACCACGATTAAATCGCATAAATTGAAGGATGCAGTGCATCAAAGCCAGTTAAATGAGAAGTTGAGTGAAAAATTGTCACCAAATATTTCCTGGAAAGAATTACAACACGCAATTGTAGATTCAGCTAGGACAGTTTGTGGAGTGAAAAGCAACAAGAAACAATTCAATCATGACAATTGGTGGTGGGACGAAGCTATGAGGGAGACACTGAAAGCAAAGCGGGAAGCCTATAAAAAGTTCAAGGCCAGTGACACAACTGCAAACAAACTCGTATACGCCGAGTTGAAAAAGAAGGCCAAACGAGAAGTTTCTAGAGCTAAAGCTAACGCATGTCAAAGGTGGTGTGCAGACTTAAATAGCAAAAAAGGTCGTGAGAAAATGTTCCGACTGGCTAGATGCACAGCTACCGAAAGTCATGATGTTCGGGGAGGTAAATTCATTAAGAACGAAAGTGGCATACTCCTCACTGACGGGACTGATGTCCTCGAAAGATGGCGCGAGTATTTTGACTCGCTCTCTTCCAAACCAGCCATCGGTTCTATGATGGACTCTCTTCCCATACATGGGCCTATCAGGGAAATTACCGAAACTGAAGTTGGCAAGGCAGTTATGCATTCATCTGACGGTAAAACACCCGGACCATCGTCCATAACGGCTGAAATGCTGAAAGCCTTGGACGCATCCAATTTCTCTGTCTTGACAAGCGTTCTACAAAGTGTCATTGACTCGGGGAAAATCCCGGATGAGTGGTGCACGAGTGATACCGTGACCATCTACAAAGGAAAAGGGGACCCCTTGCTATGTGGATCGTACAGGGGGATTCGCCTATTAGAGCACCCTATGAAGGTTTTTGAGCGTGTCATCGAATCACGCCTTCGCGGCATTGTATCGATAAATGACAGACAAAGAGGCTTTATGCCTAACCGAAGCGCAACCGATGCTATTCATCTGCTCCGTAGGTTGCAGGAAAAGTTCTTAGCAAAGAAACAAAAGCTTTATCATGTCTTTGTAGACTTAGAAAAAGCCTTCGATAAAGTACCAAGATATTTGATCGAGTGGTCTCTTAGGAGACAATACGTCCCTGAGAATCTAGTCAAAACGGTCATGTCGTTATACAGAAACTCGGTCTCCTGTATGAGGCGAGGAAAACAAAGGTCAAACCAATTCCAGGTCAACACTGGTGTGCACCAGGGCTCTGTCTTGAGTCCACTGCTCTTCATTCTGATAATTGAAGAACTCACCAAGGAATGTGGTGACGGAATTCCATGGGAAATTCTGTTTGCAGACGACTTGGTGCTGACAAGTGAGACCTTCGAGGGCGTGTTGCAAAAGTTTGCAAAGTGGAGAACAATTTTTGAATCAAATGGCATGAAAGTTAACATGGACAAAACGAAGTTAATGGTTACCGGGGAAGAGGGAAAGACCATAAAGTCGGGTGATTACCCTTGTGGGGTTTGCAGCAAAGGGGTCGGTAGTAATTCTATGATGTGTACTTCATGCAGGCTATGGGTACACAGAAGGTGCAGTGGCTTGCGGGCAAGCCAACGCCTCTCTGAAACCTTTGTTTGCAAAGTTTGCCAGAATCCCAAATCCAAGGCAACAGATAGTAAAATCACACTTGCAGATGGTGAAATTGAAAAGGTGGGTCAGTTCAAATATCTGGGGGACATGCTTCATCCGGATGGGAAGGTGGAAACTGCTGTGCGAGCCCGCATAAATTCCTTCTGGTTGAAGTTTAGAGAACTATCCAGACTCTTATTGGATAAGAATCTTCCACTTGTTCCGCGGGTTTTGATCTACAAGAGCTGTCTGCGTCCAGTGTTGTTATATGGAGCTGAAACTTGGTCAATGACAGACTCAAATTTTAAAATATTGAGATCAACGGAACTTAAAGTACTGCGATGGGTAATTGGTACTGACCTACATATGATCGCTTCTCGTTCTATTTATGAGCGTTGCGGTATTGACCATCTAGACATTTATTTGAGGAGGTCCCGTCTTCGGTGGTTCGGGCACACTCAGAGGAGCGTGCTCCTTGCAAATGCGCTAACAAACGTTTGTGTCCCCGGACCCAGATCAAAGGGTAGGCCGAAGAAGACATGGGACAAAACAATAGAGGAAGACCTATCCTTGCTGGGACTGAAAAAGGAGGAAGCCATGGACAGGGATTTGTGGAAGGCATTGTTGTCTAACCCCGTGTAGCACGGGAAAAAGACACAAAACGTTGATGATGATGATGATGATGAATATAATGTGATTACGTGTAAATGAACATATTTTTATATCCTGAATGAGTTCGACTTGTTTCTGCCGTGTAGTCTTTTTGATAGCAGACTTCTTACCAGTATATTTGAAAAATTTATGAAAAAACTAAAAACCCAGAAAAGTTATGTATTCCAAAAACTAAAATACTACTTTTTTTTACAATTATACCACTAAAACATGTTTTTTTACCCGGTTATAGATGTTTTTTTATATTTTTGATAACTCCGCTGGCAAACTTGTTACCCAGTTTAGGATACCCGGTGGGGCGTTTATATCTTCACGTCCATTTTTTGGCTCTTTTTTCTACCCCGGGACCCGCAATTTTTTTAAAGAAACTTAGCGTTAGCATTATCCGATTGTTATGAATATAGACTTGCGGACGATATAGGCAATAACAAACTTATTCCGTCTTCATACTAACGTTGTAAAACCACTGGTTACTCCATAAATTTGAGGCTCATGCGAGGTGGGGAAAAACAAAAAGACTATTTTTCTTTTTTAGTGGCTGACTTTCATTTATAAATTTGAGATTTTTTTGAGAGGAAGTGGACAATATAAACCAGGATCGCATGTATCCTCACAATCAATGAACAAGTTTTGATCGAATAAATCAAAACAGAGCATCCTACCAACAGTCTAAATAATCTAATTGTTCTAGGAAAAACCGACCGATGCACTGACACCAACTATCGACTCCACTCCAGACGATGACTTGCGAGACTTTGAGGACCTTCTCTCCCTTCTCTCACCCATCGGTCCACCGGAATCTCAACCACTAACACCCACTCTACTAGCAACTACTTCCACTGCTATTACTACTACCACCCCTGCTACAAGACCGGCCCCTTCACGATCCTTCACTCTGCCACAACCCAACACATTTTAACCTGCTTCAATAGCTCCTAAATCAAAGCATCAACACCCCTGCGAACTTCCCCTCTTTAATTCAAAATACACCTGGTTCCTTCTAATTCTCGCATTGAGAAACGAACCCAAATAGTTCGACCCGATCAGGTAAAAACGGCTAACTCGCCGGTACCAGGTTCCACACACTTAATGACAGTTAGGTGACAGCCCTTGCATCCTACTTAACTAAATAGACAATTGCATATTCAGTTGGACAAAGAGCACCATATTTCCTCAAATACCAAACCAGAATTTGACATGGTTTTGAACTATGCGTTGAATCCTCTGATAAATTACTTCAAATTGGAAGCTTACCATCCAATACGGAAACTGTACTTCATAACAAATTCACTCTTTGATCACCAAAAACTATGATCCCGCGAAGTGTTTAAAAGCAAAAACGCAAACCCCCGAGATGGATGACTATACCGAACAGATACAACCGAGTCACATTAATGAGACCCATCAGATCCGGGAACTTAAAAAAACAAATACACAAAGTCATCGAAACATAGAATAGACAAAAACATAGAGTTTATTGTGTTCACAAAGCGTGACGCCGCCGCCACAATATATTCAGTCTGTTTACATCCCTTTGCAAAATAAATTGAAGACTTAAAGTATTAGAGATAACTCGTATAACGGTTAAAGTATTGGTAAATAAGACTCTTCTCATGAAAAACGAATAGTAACGACTCTACTAGTAAAATACGAACGTAAAATACGAACATACCTCGTTTAAAGAGAGTATTGACATGACAAGGGTGTTGACATACCTCATGAGACACGAAGAATTAATGACAAAAGAAAAGGCGCTGGGCACGATTTGTTAAAGTCGAATGGACAATTTAAACTTCCGTTTTTGTCATGATTTTATGACATGTACAGAAACAGCGATGAAAAGAGCCGTAATTTTGATTAGTTAACCGAGGAAATTTAAATTGAACAGACCTCTATCAGTTGGCCGCCAATATCTTGAATAAAAGCTTGCAGCTAACTTATTTAATTTCGTGAAATAAACACAGAACCTTGTTACTGCTACATAACGTATGATCAACGAATGACAATCCTTGATTAAACAAAAATTCTTGATTCCGATACAACGGTTAGCGCCGTATCATAAATCAATGATTATTGAAAAAAAAAATGATTCCGATGAGGTAGTTAGCGCAAAAACTTAGTATTTATGAGTGTTATACTATGCAAGAGACCCAAAATTACTTCAAAGTTTTTTTGGTATGCTTTAATTGAATCTTTTTCAATCATCTCCTGGCTATGTTCGCGTTTGGATCGAGCGATATTGTAAGCTAGAAGCTGTGTAGCTCGACAGGTGACAAATTGTTTATTTGTGATTCCTGTCCCTATCAGTGTAAAAATAGGGGAGACATGACGCGACATGTAGACGTGAAACACAAACCAAGTGCACGCAAATTCCCCTGCTCAATGTGTAGTTTGCAGGCTAAGTTCAGATGGCAGCTGCAGACTCATTATGTCAAAGTGCACAATCTTTCTCCTACAGTAGCAAAAGCAGCTGCTAATGAAAGCTGAAGTTATGGAACAAAATCGTGTATTATATTTTATAAAGATTTCCGAAAGAAGATAGCTTCTTTGAAGTTTGCTAAAAAAAATGTAACAAGTGAAATTGTAGATCTCATTATGTAGTTGTGTATGTGTTTAGAAAATTTTATTAAAAAGTCTTTAATGCTGTTTATGGAAATTAATTCGGAGAACGCTATCGAAGTTATAATTTCGTCTTCATTATGGAATAGATAATCATGTCTACATTTTTAACGAAATCTATTTGATACCTGATTTATTGCAGTTAACCTTGACGAAAATCCGTTCTGACGTTTTCTATCAACGCTTTTCTATCTTTCCAACCATTGTTTCAGGTTTATTTGCTACTTTTTTCTGTCCAAATGACTCTATCAGACTATATTGAGTTCTCACTTGCTATTAATCAGGAGTTTTTAGAAGATGAAAAAACCTTTAAAGTGAGCCTGTTAGAATCAGATAATTTCGTAGGTCTTCTGCGTACGAAAATGTCTCTGACACCAGACGCTTTGCTTGGTTCTCAACCTATGCAACACTTCGCGCCAAATTTTGTGCAACAAAAGAGAAAATTGCCCATCGGTGCCAATAGTCAGGTGCCGTCTAAACATCCTAGATCTCTCAGCAAGAAGAATCCAATTGCTAAATCAAACAATCAGATAACAAATCAAGGCCAAGCTTCTGCTCAACATTTTCGGGAATTCACTTCCGAAGGTGAGAAGTTTTACTTCTGTGATCTTTGCTCGTATAAAACGAAAGACAGAGGAAATGTGAAGAAGCATATCAACAACAAACACAACCAAAATTGTGTCAAGTACAAGTGCTCCATGTGCGGCCACGAAGCGAAAATTCGAAACAATTTAAAAAATCACTACATGGGAGTGCACAAGTTACCAGAAAACGTAGCCAAGTCCGCTACTGCAGATGCTCAACAAGTTTGATGCCAACTCTAAAGCAAAAACTGTGTGTTAGATTGAAGATAGGAAAATTAGACATGTCCGATATTTTCTTTGCGAAAGCAAAATGTATACCACCCGAGATTTTTTACCGGACGCTAGCAAAGCTTACCGAATTGCCAGAACTGCTTTGAGAAGTACGATATAGGGTCAGAGCAAGATAAATGCTTTTTTAAAACTTTTTAAAGGTTCCGGGAGCGTGTACTGACCGTTTTTAGGAGTGATAAGTCATCAAATCTGCAGAAATAATGCAAAAATTAACTTTTAAGTAGTGAAAATAGTTTTTCAGTTATCAAAATGTTCGTCATCTTTACTTTTAATCGTTACGTTTTTCTGCGAAGCTTTAATCAATCTAACTACCTCTTATTGCACAGTTGTGATACTTTTTATATCAACTGGGCATGTATGAGAGTTGGAAGTGCCAAAATTTTTGAATTGTTTTATCGAATAGAAATAGTTATAGCGCTAATAACTCAATCAGCTTAATTTTTCTCTTCGGTCAATTAAGTTCATCCTAGTAGCTTGTTTTTGGCTGGAAACTCACTGGCTTCGTCTCAACAAGGCGTGAAAGGAGGGAAAGAAACTTTGATAGTTTCTATATCTTTTTTGTTGGGCTAAAAGGTCTCTTTGAACGTGTCTATACAAAACAGTCCAATACAAAGCAGTCCGGAAAAGTATGAAAAAGAGCGAAAAAATAGTCCGATACAAAACAGTCCGAAAAACAGTCCCAATTAATAATTGTTTTAACAAGCCAGCCAGGCCGAGAATTGTCCTTTGTTCAACAAGCATAATGAACAAAATAGTGACCGCCGCAGTCGCGCCAACGTGTTGCGAGCTTGCCAACAGAGGGTAGGACTTAATACGAAATTTAGAGCCTGTTATCGCCGCGAAGCAGCGCGCCCACCGGCGAACTTAAACCGGACTGTTTTGTATTGGACTGCTTTTCCCCTCCTTTACATGATTTTTGGGACTATTTTGTATTGGATTGTTTTGTATGGGACTGTTTTGTATATGCACCGTTAAACCAACTTGGGAGGTCGTTCAAAGGCAATTGTTCGTCAATTTGATGCCTTTGTGCTTTCTTTTCCGGGTTATTGACAAAAAACAGATGTTTACAAGAATTTTTTTGAGTAAAATATATGTACGTACTTAATCATCGTGTAAGTACTGTTATTTACCCGTAATATGAAAAAAGAAAAACAAAAAAGAAACTACCAAAATAAATTAACAATGTCTTTGTTGTCTTGAATAAAAGTTTGAATTGTGAAGCATCTAGTGTTGGTCAAATTGTCCGTAATAATGTTCCCCGTTCAAGAAGCGGAATAGATTTTTTGCTCGTTATTAAATGGGGAGAGGGCACAGTGAAACTTGAAATTTTAGACTTTCATAATTATGCCAACGGTGCAGTTTTTTGCTTTAACTGGTGCCTACCCAAGTTTTGTCCACCTAGTTGCTTCTTCGTGTTTTGTATTTCAATGGGAATTCTACTATCAATTTGTCCCGATCGACATGATTAGTTTTCCAAAATAACTATTTCTGAGACAAGCGTATGAAATTTTTGTTACGTTCGCTATTTCTACTTTTTTTTCAAACTGATTTTTGACTTTGTGATTTTCGTCTAGCTTGCCATGATATGCTAGTGCTGTATAGCAAGAGGCGTGAAGCTCCCACTTAGCTTCTGTTTAGATATTGATATCTGCTCAACTGCTTGAGGTATTGAGGAACTAGCGTTTCGCTGTCATATTGAGGAACTAGCGTTTCACTGTCGCATCACTGTTATATCTGTCAGGTTTTGTGTTAACAGTTTAATGTTCCCCGGATATAAAAATTCAAGATTTCAAATTACGCTTTGATAGAAAGAAAGAAAGAAAGAAAGAAGAAAGAATGAATTTCCCCAGTATATGAAAACATCAAATTTAAATATACAACATAACAGATTCTGAGACTTGGAGATGACAGATAACGGAATCCTAGGATCCACCACGGATCTGCCAATATGTTTTTTTTTAAATTTCTTTTTTATGTTTCGGTAGATTCGATTAGATACTTAGTTTGTTGGTGACTGACACAGCTTTTCTTTCAGCATGGGCATGGTTACTCTAGCTCAGTGGTTGGATTAGTTATCGTTTATCGTTTTTTTTCTAAGTATTTTGAAAACAAATTAGTGAGAAAAAATTTTTAAAAATCTAAAAAGTGCGATATCTCGAAAACTAGCGGGTTCTGGAGGGTCATTTTTCTTCCACCTAATTTCAATGACTGATGACTTTCAATGACTTCTCAATTACTTAAATACTTTCGAATTTACGAGTCCTTTTTTCTAATGATATCTTCTGATAATTGATTATACTATGGTCCACTGTACTTCCACATAGTATAGTTTAAGTGTAGGTTTTTGACAGTCTGAAGTAATTTTGGTAAAATTGTTTCAAGCAAGCTCCAAGGTTTCAGAAGTTATGGATCCTCACTTTCTTACCAGTGAAACAATAACCGTTGAGCTAGTGGTAAATGAATGTCTTTTAAATTGTATGAACTTATACCTTTCGTTCGAGCACGTTTTCCAAATGAGTGATCGGTACAATAACGCATGTGGTTTTGTTTCAATGACTCTCGAAGCAGACCCCGAAGCTGTGACCAAGACATCAATTGAACAAACTTTTGCAAACATAGTGAATTATTCTAAACTACCCGCAGATACAAATCGCAAGCGTGGTCATCAAGTTCCTTTATTGTTGCAACAGATACAGAAAAAGGCCTGTTTAAAGAGTTCGAAACAGCTCAAAGGTGTAGCCGGTGCCAATGTTGCAGACGAAGGCGTGAGACATTACCGTGAATGTCGAGACAACGACGGCAAGAAGTTATACTTTTGTGACCTGTGTGCATATAGGTAGGAACCTCAGTCGCTTCGAAAAAATGAGCTTTAAGTGAGGCGTCGATTTCAATTTTAACTTGGTGTGTGACAGGATAATTTTTGGAATTGGGTTTGAAAATTAACGTTCCAAGTGGGTCTGGTCTCTATTGTTTTACAAATTAGGTTGTAACACAAATTAGATTGGCTTCGCTTTTGGTGTTATAAAAAAGATTTCGAAGTTTCATGATGTTGTACAGGTCACCATTTGGGAATAACATGAGGAAATGAGGAAACATATCGACTTGCGACACAAAGAGAGATGTGCCAAGTACTGGTGCTCAATGTGTACACATGCCACTTACCAACGAAGTCACTTGAAGAAGCATTACATTAGCAGACACAAATTGCCTGAAACTGTAGCCATAAGTGCCACTAATGATAGTCAGCATCATTAAACTTTCATTAGATTTGAAAATTGAACTATGAGGTCTACTTTTTCTTATATAAAACTACATGCTAATTTAAACAATCAGTTATTAGATACAAGTTTTTCTGTTTAACAGACTAATATGTAGCCTTGCGAATAGGTCTGTCCGTAAACAACAGAATGGTGGAAGTTGATAATGCTAAATTGGTAAATGCGTTTGTGTATGGTGTTAACATGGTACATGTGTATAGTTTATGTAATTTCTTCCTGTGTTAATTTTTCTTAGCCAAAAATGTTTAACTCTGGCGGCTTTATTTTAATTCGAGTTTTTCCCAAGTTATATCCTGTAAATGGTGTTTTCAAAACTTTTTTTAATGAGGCCTTTCTCATTTCATAAATATTTGGGCAATTAAAGTCCTTCTTCATGCAAAATGCAGCAGAATTTCGCCGAATTTTTATAATACATTTTTTAAATTGAATTGTATTTTTTCACGCATAATTTTGCGGTTTTCTGAATGTTTTTTTTTCATTTTGTGCTGAAAAGTATTTTAGTGCTAAATTTGAGATTGGAGATAACCGGATAAAATGAATTGAGACAAATTTTTCAAATTCAAATTTTTCAAAGTCGGTAAACTTTGTACAAATGGGGTGCGGACAAAAATATTTAGATTTTAGCATGCCTCTTCATTATGCAACCCATTTTTGCAAAATTGAAAACAAAATAAACACCTCGGGTCAAATCAATTGGTTCAAGTTTACGAAGGAA